TTCTTAAACCTCTTCATGGTTCCCTATTGTCTAGATTCTAGAACAGTGGTCTCCAAGCTGAGGTATGCAAAATGATCCATAGGGCAAAGAAATAGAATATTTGAATTTCATGAAATTTTTATTCTTAAAAAATAGGAAACTAAACATTACTGATACTGGTCTTTAATATACAGATTGACTATGATACACATATATATCAAAAAAACCAAACTCACTGCCATCAAATCGATTCTGACTCACAGCAACCCCCCTTGGGTTTCCAAGGCAGTAAATCTTTACAGAAGTAGATTGCCCAGTTTTCCTTCCACGGAGTGGCTAGTGGATTTGAACTGCCAACCTTCTGGTTAGTAGTCACTTAGGCACTGTGCCACCAAAGCTCCTTACACATACACCGTATATAAATATACAATGATTCTAAGAACATGCTAAAGCGTTTATACTGATACAGATATGCAGACCAAAACTGAGATGCCATTTACCTATACAACAGTGTTGAAAACCTTTATCATGGCATTCAATGCATTTCACATGATACCTATGCCCTTACCTCTTCCCTGCCCCTGCATTCATTTTATATCTCTTGCTACACTCAACGATTTGTAGTCCCCCCATTTTGCTCTGCATTCTTACCTCTAGGTCTTTGCTAATTACATTCCATTCTGATTAGAATGCCCTTCCTCATCCCTTACTCTGACTTACTTCTCTTCATCTGCTAGATCTAACTCAGGCATCCATTCTTTCAACAAAATATTTATTGAGTGCCTACTGCGTGTTAGGAGCTGTGGTGGTGCAGTGGTTAAAACATTGGGCTGCTAACTCAAAAGGTCAGCAGTTTGAACCCAACAGCCACTCTGTGGAAGAAAGATGAGGCAGCCTGCTTCCACAAAGATTTACAGCCTTGGAAACCCTATAAGTAAGGCAGTTCTACTCTGTCTTGTAGAGTTGCTTTAAGTCAGAATTGATTAGACGGCAGTGGGGTTGGGTTTTTTTTTTTTTTTTTTTCCCCTTAATTGTGTGTTAGACACTGTTCTAGAAATTGGAGAACAAAACCCTGCCCTTGTGGAATTTGTATCTTAGAGGAAGGAGACAGGCAGTATTTTTTTTTTTAAGCAAATTATATAGCATGTTAATTTTAAGTGCTATGGAAAAAGAAAGTGAGTAGGATAATGAAGTACAAAGGGCTGGAGTCAGGAGCTGGGGCAAGGGAGAGTTTGGAGGAGGGTTGCAGTATTAAATAGAGTAGTAAGAGTAGACACCATTGAAGTGACACTTGAACAAAGATTAAATGGTATTTAAAGCCATAAAACTAATGCTGGCGAGGTTGTGGAGAGATAGGGACTCTCATACACTGCTGGTGGGACTGTAAAATGTTACAACCATTGTGGAAAGCAGTATGGCGATTCCTTCAAAAGTTGGAATTAGAAATACCATTTTACCCAGCCATTCCATTACTAGGTA